TCTTTCCTCCTCCTGCTTTGAAAGACCTTCTACAAGCTCCATGACAACTGTTCCATGTAGCCATGTTGGCTGAAGCAGCACAACCAACGTCTTGATCTATTTGAGCTGCCCAGAAAGAACACCAGAGACTGGATGGTATATAAACATCACAAACAACTTTCTCACAGCTCTGGTGGCCGAGTGGTTCAAGAACAAGGAGTCAGCAGATACTATTTCTAATAATGACCTGCTTTCTCCCTAGTGTTAGCTTCTCTCTACATCCTCACATTGCAGAAGGGAAGAGTCAGCTTCTGAGGGTTTCTTATAAGTACACTAACACCACTTATGAGGGTCCCATCCTCATCAACTAATAATCTCTGAAAGCTCTCCCCCCGGATAGCAGCACACTGGGGATTAGGTATCCCATAATACGAATTCATACAGTAGTGAACAGCATGGAAGTAGATAGCTGTGGCTGCCACTTGATAGGAACTGAACATTAAGTTTCCTCTTATTTTGTGCATCACAAAATATTACTCTTCCCTTGCCCTTTGTCCAAGCATTAATAAAATGCAAAACCAAGCTCTTCATTCCTTGGGTTACACAAAAAGAGATGGGTGGAGGGGGATTTAAACACCCTGCCTAACTCTGCACATTGTGGTACCCTCTCCTGGTCTTCACTGAGAGCAGAGTTACAAAGGCATCACTTACTTCTGATGTGGTTTTATTATCCAGCCCCTTCAAAGACAAATTGCATCTGAGATTCACTATTTACCATTGACAGTTACATAAAGTGAATGAGTACGTAAATAATTAACTGACTTTTAGACCCCCAAATACGTTCTAAGACCAAGACTATTAACATGATGTTGGGGATATTAAGGAGGCCTCCATCTGTCATCACAATTAGGGGCATTATACCCAATGTGGTAGTTTTCCAAGACTCCAAATCAAGTCTGGACTTTCTGCAAATCTCAAAGTAAGTTTCAAACCCTTCTAGAACAATTCATTCCCAGGATACTCAGAAAATAATTCTTTTAATCACTCTTTTTTTTCAGTACTAATGATTGGGTCTTGGCCTCGTGCATGCTGTGCAAGCATTCTATACTTACCCTGTATTCCCTACTCTACTTTGCTTTCTCAGAATTCTGAAACAGTTTTGATAAGCTGACAAGGCTGGTCTTGAACACTTGAACTTGTTATCCTTATGCCTCAACTCATAAGAAGCTGGGATTACAAGCCTATGTCAGCAGACCAGCAAAAATGAGGTTTCTTTACCATACCCTGGGCTTAGGGAATCACAGTTTCTTCTCCCCTTTTTGACAACCCCTAAAGCCCCACATAGGAGGCACCTTCTGATCCAGCTCCCAGGATTTCCTAGTACCCAAGCCCTGGTATCCAAGCATTTGAAGTTGGAGAGTGAGCTGGATAGAATGGATCTCTCCTATAGAAAGCAATGCACAAGCTGCTACTTTCAAAATAAGTTTACATAATGTAACTTTTGACATGTATTTGTATAGTTATTGCTCTGTGTGTATGTGAGTGTGTGTCTGTCTGTGTGTGTGTGTGTGTCTGTGTGTGCGAGTGCATACACCACATGATTGCACTACAATGTATATGTGAAGATCAGAGGGAAACTTGTGAGAGTTAGCTCTCTCTTTCTTTTCATCATGTGGATCCCAGAAATCAAACTCAGATCCTCCGGCATGGCAGCAAGCACTTTTACCTCCTGACTCGGTTTGCCATACCTTTCATTTTGCTACCAAGTTCTCTCAACTGCCTTCTCAGGCTTCCTTTTCTAGGAAGCAAAATCTAGTGCTGAAACCCACACAGCGGGAACCAAGGGTGGCTCCAACCAACCAGGAAGGGAGTGAGACAGCAAGACCCACTGACCAAAACAGTCACAGACCTGCGCTCTGCCAACAGCCACGTGGATGAGCCCAGAAGTGATGGGACTAGAGACCCTAGACCCTGACTTCAGTCTTGTAATTAATCTTGTCACACAGGAGTAGGGGAGCCAAGGTCGGACTCCTTGTATACAGAAGCCATAAAATGATTAACCAGCATGAGCTTACGTAAAGCCTCTAAACTTCAGGGTAATTTGCAACAGGTAGCAGATAACTGATACAACTACTTGTAAGGATAATCAGACATCTAGTCACTCACTCTCCAACAAAATGTCAAGTTCAACTTGGGCAGAGGCAACCCTTTGGTATCTCTCACAGTAACGAACGAATTGGCCCCATATCCAGGATAACTAACGTCTGTGAGATTCACTGATACAATTATTTTAAATAATAGTACCTTTTGAAAAGATTCGTTCACAGTAGCTATTGAAGACAGGAAGGGTGTTTTTATTGTAAGGAAGGAAAAATAACCTTTGGATTTGACCTTGGTTGTGCTCTCTTTAAGTTTCAAGAACTTCTAGGAAACTCGCATTCACAAAAGACTTCAAAGTCCATCTCTCTTCATTGTACTGAAGACATCTTTGCCCTGTCCCTTTTGGAACAAATACATAGATTTGCCTAGTGAGGGGTCTAATCATTTAGACCATTCTTGTGAATGTTTCTCCTTCCACAATTGTACATGGACAGAGGGCAGTATAAGAGAAGGAGGAATGTGAACAGAAATGACTGTGCAAAAATTAGAACTAATAGAGACTATCTAGATAGAAACTGATAGAGCAGGAGAAAAAGACATAGTCAAACCTCCAACTCTGGGTCAACAGCATGTCTCAGTGGGTAAGAGTGCTTGCCATACAAGGTTGATGACGTGAGTTCAAGTCCCAGTTCCCAGATCCTCCACAGTAGAAGGAAAGAACCAACTCCCAAAAATTGGTCTTTGCCACACACACACACACACACACACACACACACACAATAACTTTCCAAAATTAAAATCAAATATCTAGACCAGAAGCAAAGAAATGACTCAGAAGACATAGTCTGCTTTTGCTATCTAGTCATTAGCATTTTGACAAGGAGTTTAGCGTTTATCAGAACAGAAGAAAGAAAAACAGAAACCGTCTTCCAAAGGACCCAATACTCTTGGAATTCTATGACCTAATTCTGTCTAATGCTGTTGTAGGGGACTGTCTGATTCTCATAGCATCCTAGACCCTGTTTACTCAATAATTGTATGCCATACCACTATCAGACACCAGGAAGAACACAGGATGTGGGAAAACAGCCTAGCGACCACGCATGGAAAAAATATTGTTCAATCAGTTCAGAGTCCCACTCTGTCTCACTATTTCCTTATCTCGTGGTTAAGTCAACTTGTCATTGCCTTTGTAGACAGTATATATCTGTGGCCCATGCTCCAGGCACCAGCTGCTAGCCAGCCTGATTCCACAAGAGAATGGGGGTTGAGCGGGTCCGCTTGAGCTGAATAACTTTTATGCTGACATTTAAGGGAACCATTTCCCAGGCACTGAACGAATCTCCAATGCTTGCAATGACCACAGGACCAAAAGCATCTTATGTAAGAAATGTGAGTGGGCTCAAAGCCGAAACAATTATAGCTAATTTCCTTAGACTTAAATATTTTCTATAAAATGGGAAGGACAGTAATATGACCTGACAGTTCTTTTGATGGTTAAATATATGTAAACATCTGCCTGGCTATAAGTTTACCCAGACTTTGACACCATCGATATTTTGGGTAGGATAATTCTTCATTGGATATTTGTGAGTGGCTCTGGCCTGTGCATTAAAGGTTGTTTTTCTGTTTGGTTTGGTTTTGGAAACAGAGACTTAAGTAGCCCAGGCCTATCATTCTGCCTCTGCCTCCCAAGAGCAGGGTTACAGGCATGTGCCACCATGCCTAGTTCATTCAGTACTAGGGACTGAGCCCAGAACTCTGCGCTAGACAAACACTGTAGCAACTCAGCTGCAGCCCCAGTCTCCAGGGTCACCACCAGCATTCCTGGCTTTGACTTTTTTTCTTTCATTTTTAAAAACACTGATTTTATTTTATGGGAAGGGGATTGGGTCATGGTGGAGCATCACTTGAATACAGTACCTTCAGAGGTCACAAGAAGGCACTGGATGGCCTGGCACTGGAGTTTGGGATGGTTGTGAGCTGCCACAGGAGTGCTAGTGTAGTGGCATCTTGCCTTGCCAGGGGCCACATCTTTGGGGTGTGGTTTCAGGTTCGGATGTGACCTATTATAAAGAAAGGAGGGGAGGGCTCTCCCTCTCTTGGGTGCTCTCTTGGGTTCCGGAGAGCATAGGAAGGACAGAGACTGCATCTTCTGGGGCAGGAAGACCGAGGTGGTTATTTACTCTTATCTGTGTGTTTCCCTAACAAATACCTATTTATCATTTATTATTTATCATTTATCTTGGGTCCGGTGGACTCATTTACCCCCCACCTTTATGCTAAGAATTAAACCTTCATTCTCTGGAAGAGCAGCCAGTGCATTTAACCACTGAACTGTCTCCCCAGCCCCAGCATCCCTGGCTTATATCCACTAGGTGGTATCAATAAAACCACTATCTTGCCCATTATTACACACACACACACACACACACACACACACACACACACACACACACACACACGTCGTCATCAGACATTTCCATATGTGTCCCAGAGGCTAAAACTAAAGTCACCTCTGGCAACAAACTACCATTTTAGTGTCCAGCAGATAGTAACTGCTCTGTGCATGTTAGATGCTATCTTTGTCACCATCACTCCTGTCACTACTATCCACCTACCATGGTGGTGACAGATCCTCTGTTCTGTTAAGTCCTTGAATGTGTTGCCCATACTTCTACATCCTTTTAAAAGAGTATTAAGGGCAAGCCAGGCAGTGTTGGTGCACACCTTTAATCTCAGTACTGGGGAGTCAGAGGCAGGAGGACCTCTGTGAGTTCAAGGCCAGCCTGATCTACAGAGAGCATTCCAGGACAGCCAAGACTACACAGAGAAACCCAGTCTCAAAAAAAAAAAAAAAAAAAAAAAAAAAGGGCAAAGGAAGCAGGTCATGAGGTGCTAGCAATCCAGGAGAAACCTACCATCATCTTCCATGGAGTCTCCTTTCATGGAATGACAAAGGGGCATCATGTTGCTCAGCTCTACATACTCGGCCGCAGGGTGTGGAACACTACAGATTTCTTGCTCGGCACAAATGCTTCAGCTCGAGGACCGCTGTCTACATGGGCCCCTTGCAAGTCCAAGGGCCCTACCACACTTACCTGAGGAAGGAAGGAAAGAGACATTCATGAAGGAGCCATTTGCAACAGAAGTCTGCTCCCTGGCTCTTTTTGTGGTTTTGTGCTCATTTGGGTTTACAAGTGTGTTTTCTTTTCCCCTAAATTGCCCTTGCATATTCAAAGGATGTTTGCTTTAGGTGTTTTGATACCATGCTGTTTTCAAGCCCCGAATGTTTTTCATGGCATGTCTCGTTAAGTGTACAAGCTGAGAGGTGAATGTTGGTGACTGAAAAGAACACGGCATTCCTCAAAGTTTTCAAGTCAGCGAAGGCAAAGCAGAAAGGAAGTGAGATTTCTGGGGCTCGGGATTAGCCCTCTGACAACAGACAGTGCTTTAGAGACCCTATTTTAAGCTTTAACATTAGAGCAACGTTTCCTCTGCGCTAAAGTAAAAAAAAAATGTCAAATGTAACTTTCTGTGTATTTATACTGTGGCCTTTTCTATGTGTGTGGAGTGTTGGAGTATCAGCGTATGCATGTTTATGTCTGCAATTGAAGGCCAAAGATCACTATCGGGGTCTTCCTCAATCTCTTGTCACTTGTATTTTGAGACTTGGATGCACAGATTTGGCCAAGCTAGCTGGCCAGGAGGCCCCAAGGATCCTCTTGTCTCTACCTCCTAAGCACTGGAAGTATTTGAGCAAATGTGCTGGGGATGGGACTCTGGTCATCATGTTTGTACAGCAAGCACTTTACTGACAAATCTATCTCCCCTAAAATAGTATGCGATTTGTCTGGAGGTAAAAATGTGTAAACCAACTTGTCACAGTGAACCGTACTCATCCTGTGGCTTTTTCTATGCCCCTCTGAATACTATATATCCAGTGCATTTGCAAATTCAGGGTCTTGTGGATCTTAGAACCCCAGAGAACCAAATTCCAGTTCTGGCTTTCCCCCTGATAGAATGCATGGACTTCAACAAACTGCTTTATCCTGAGGAGCCTCAAAAATTACCTACTCTAGGTCACCACCATGAGACATAAAGACCATATATGAAATATCAGAGTGACAAGCACATAGGCTATGCTACACAACCAGTAGGTGACATGATCATTTTCTGGGGATGGGGGGCACTTTTGCCATAACAGTTACATAACTGCATATTTCATGAATGAGAAATAACACAGCAGTATGCTTATCTGTTTTAAGTTCTTGGTCCCTATCAACTTCCCTTCCAGGTTCCCTGTTCCTGTACAGCGTGTCTAATGTATCCCTGAAAAAGCAGCATCTAGGATCCTGTGAAAATTGTGCAAGGAAAAGGTCAGCAAAACTCAGTATCCCTTTCAGATATCTCCCCCACAAGGGTTGTCTGTCACTTTCCCATGACTCTGAATTACACCAACCCTGGGTCCCACATCAAAATCTGGAATGTTGCCTTTCCATGCCAGAATTTTCTGTCTGGCTGTGTCCAAAGCTTCCCATGCCTTTGTTGAAGGATCTGATTTAGTTACTGTGAGTAGATAGTACTTAACACTTTTAACAAGCCCCTAGGCATTTCCTATGACCAGAAGAGTTGGGGAGAATCTTGAATCCAGCCATATGTTTCTACTGCTTCCAAAGCCCAAAAGATATCCCCGGACATCTGGAAGGAAGACAAGAAGGTGCGAGATCTACAATGCATTGAGTGTGGCAAATCTGGTATCAGCATCTGAATCTATCAGAATACTGGACCCTCCTAGACCCACGGGATTCTACTTTGAAGCGTTTGTTATTGACTATACTAGCAGGGCCAAGAAGATGGCTCAGTTTCATAAGTATGCTTGCAGCCAAGCCTGAAGGCAGGAGGTCAGTCTCCAGAACGTACTCGGTGGAAGGAAAAATCTGGCTCCTGAAAGTTGCCCTCTGAGGTCTGCATTTGCACTGTAGCATTCATGCCTCCCTTTCCCGACACGCATGGCACACAATGGATAAATGCATAGACATAGTTACAGATATACAGCAGGGAACCTTGCAATGGCTGTGATAATTAATCTTGAGTGCCCACCTGAGTTCAGATCCCCAGCACCTCATATGGAGACCTGCAAGGAGTGGTGTCTCCCTGTAATCCTATAATCCCACTGCTGGGGAGAGAGAGACACAGAGAGAGGTAGAGACAGACAGACAGACAGACAGACAGACAGATAGACAGAGAAAGAGAGGGGGGGTAGAGAGTCCCTGAGGCTTGCTAGCCAGTACATCTAGACAAATCAGTGAGTTCCAGATTCAGGAATGGACTTTGTCTTAAAAAAAAAAAGGTGAAGAGTAATCAAGGCAGACGCCACATCAACCTCTACCCTCCATATGCACACGCATACATGGATACATGCATGAACACATAAATATACACACAAGCAAAGAGAAGTACCTAAAAGTTTAGTAAAGTGTGTGTGTGTGTAAGGGTACTTCAGCTGTCAAATCAACTGGAAGTATTGTAGCCAAATTAAAGAATTCAATCCATGACAGAGTAATCTGCTTGCATCTGGCCAGTGAAATTTGCATTCCAAAAATGATAAATCCCATAGTATACAACAAGCTCCCTGTTTATGACCTGTAATGAAATACAAGCAAAACCCACTTCTAAGTTCTCTGGTGAATCCTGCCTAAGTCTGCTCGGCTTCCCACTTGGTGCTTTCTGTAGGACTTTGGAACTTGAATAAGGCCTAACTAGACTCCCTTAATATAGGTGACAATGGTGGGGCTGGGACAATATATGAGGCCACTGGCAGTGGGTCCAAGATCTAACTCTGATGCACAAACTGACTTAGTGGAGTCCATTCTATATGGAGAGATACCTTGCTCGGCCTACACACAGGGGCGTGGGGGTGGAGAGGTGCCTTGTTTCTGCCTCAACGAGATGATGGGACAGACTTAGAAGACTTCCTAGGGGAGGACTTATCCTCTCTGAGGAGCTGATGGGAGGTGCATGGGGGTAGAGGAAGAGGGGAGTGTTGGAGGAAAGAAGGGAAGTGGAACTGGAATGCCAAAAAAAATTAATATAAACAAGTTTGTAAACAATGGAATAGAAAAAAACTTCAGAAAGTAATTTCTAAATGTGTCCATCAGAATGAGCCGGTGAATGCACTCTCCACATTCACTTCCCAGAGCTTTAATGTAGCTGACTATTAGCAGAGAAGTGCACAAGGCTTAGGAGATTGTCACTTTCAACACCTTGTCACCTGCCACTATTGTAGTTTTGCTTTGTTTTTTAATCTGCTCATTCTAGGCATAGTCATGGAGTCCCCTCAGTATGCTTGGTCTCAGTTATGTCCTTCAGAGCACTGAGCTCTGGATTTGCTCATAGTAGGTGCTTTGGGAAAATCAGGAAGCTATGCCCTTTGCTATTCGATATAAAGAGCCCAGAATGATGAAAGACAATCAATAACCTAAATTAAAGCTAAGCAACCCCCAAATACACCTGGGTTAAACTCAGCACTCACAGAGTGAGGGAGCAATGCCTGATGAAGATCAATAGAGGTCTGAAGGTGAAGCCACACCCCCTTCCTTTGCAAGGTGCTGGTCTCATGTCAAAGAACAAGAAAGGGTACATTCTGTTGTGTTTTGTGAACTTAAATCTCTAGGGCAATGGTAAAGTCTGCCAACTCAACAAGGCCTTCTGGGCTATCAAGAACGGACTTTAAGTGTGTGCCTGGGATGTGACTCAGTGGGAAAGTACTTGCCCAGCATGTGAAAAGCCCCACAGTTCAATCAGCAGCACTAAGAAAGGAAACAAACACAGAAAGAAATTCCAACCCACTTGAGGGTGCATTCTCCACTAATGAAACCATTTTAATCAAGAGATCCAAGCATGGCCTTAACTGAGAAAACATCCTTTGTATTAGTAATGAATGTGGGCATGGCACAGGGAATCATTTTTTGTTTGTTTGGGGTATTTTTTGTAGTTGCTGATTTGATACTTTTTCCCCTTTTGCTCATGTATAGATGGTTTGGGGGACATTCAGAATAATAGCAATCACTACAATTACAAAGGATGACTCCTATGGAGAATGGAGAGCAGGGGGAGATGGTTGGGTCACTAGAATCACCATAGGGGATAGTAAGTTGATAAAAACTGTCACTGTGTCTAGATTTAGCCAAAAAAATAGCAGTTTTCTTCCTGTGATAAACACTATGACCCAAAGCAATCTGGGAAGTGTTTCTTTCGGCTTATAGGTCACAGTCCATTATGGAGGAAAACCAGGGCTAGAACTCAAGGCAGGAATGTGAAGCAGAGACCATGGAGAAACGCTGTTTACTGGCTTGTTCCATGTGGCTTGGTCTTCTGATACAGCCCAGGCCCACCTGCCTAGGGATGGCACTGCTCACAGTGGACTCAGCCCTCCTACATCAATTAGCAAGCAATTAGCAGCCGGGCGGTGGTGGCGCACACCTTTAATCCCAGCACTCGGGAGGCAGAGACAGGCGGATCTCTGTGAGTTCGAGGCCGGGCTGGACCAATAGCCTCCGAAGCAATACAGAGAAACCCTGTCTCGTAAAACCAAAAAAAAAAAGCAATCAATTAGCATCAGGCCAATATGATAGAGGCAATGCCTCAATTGAGACCCCCCCTTCCAAGGTATGTCCAAGTTTGTGTCAAGTTGTCAAACATTAACTGATAGAACCAAGGGTTTTGAACAAATTTTCAACTCCCAACTGTGGAGCTGACCACACTTACTGCTCAAATACTGAGCATCATAATCGCAGGAACAAAAGTTCACAGGGATGGCCCCCAGTAGTTTGACTGTGATGCCCACAGTAAGTCACCTGTAGACTATATGTCTCTGCCTTTTGATTGCTTGATATGAAATTGGTTCTCAGCCAACAGAATCACACCATAGAAAGACAACTACTATATGGCTGGGAAGTTAACTCAGTAGGCAAAGTGTTTGCCTAGCAAACACAAGTACCTGAGTTCAATACCCAGAACCCATGTAAGAAGATGTGTGCACTGATATAAGCTGTAATCCCAATGTTTGTGAGGTGCAGACAGATGGATCCCTGCAGCT